CTGTCGGCTCTTACAGATGTATTTGTAAGATTGGCCATTATTTTAACGGCACAAAATGCGTAAAATACCAATACAGTGAGTACTCACAGATGTTTTTGTCTGTTCGTTTTTTAAAACTTTCTTGAACGTTTCCTCTATCACAGTTCCCTGCGCCATCTTGAAAGGCAGTCGAAACTTTGCATTGAAGCGAGAAGACAATTGAGCTGGTTTCTATCAGTTTTGATAGAACGCACTTTGAACTGCAGAGTATATTTCGTACAAAAAATACCTCGGTCTTGATGTACGGACCGTTTGAAAGAACCAAGTCCGCTTCAATATTCGGATCGAAGTTTAGCTAACTTAATAATAAAGTTAAAAAATTCGTTACTGGTTTTATTTCGTTGTCTTTTACCTTTTTTCTMCAAAACGTTTATTGCCAGACGCCAAGTAGGCAGAAGTCGAAAGTTAACACCAACCAATCAGAGCGCCTGCTTTCATATCAAAGCCATTCACTGTAAACTTGAACATTTGCTCTAATTTGCGTCCAGACTGCCAATGTCTCTCGTAGCCTGAGTGAACGGATAACCTAGGGGAGTTTGGGGGCATTCTCCCCCGAGAAAATTTGAAATTCAGTCTCTCGGAAATGCGACTTGCAGCGTTGTGTTAGCATTTTGGTAACTCTTTATTAAACAGATTTAAGTTTTCCGTTTTTTGCGAACTCTAGCACTGCGAACTTTAACGCTCATTTGCTGTTTTTGCTCCCGTCAATCAAAATTCAGAGAAAAATCAGCAAAGCTAGAGTTCGCAGAAAACGGAAAAGTGCAGTAACATGCAATATTTATGAAACAAAGAAGCTTTACGTACAAGATTAATATTATTTTTATATTTTTTGCACAAAATCAGTCGTACGAAATCGGCTCTGAGAGACTAAGATGATATCAGTGATGAAAACAAAAAACATCGGCAAAATGTTACCGAGGCGAGTTCCTTGGTTGGGCTCTTACTAGCTACGGCCCTGGAAGTGAACACCAATATACCAAAGATACAGGACTGAAAAAAATAAATGTACTTCTTTCATTTTTTAGATGGTCTTGGCATGTCCTCAATTCTTTCCAAATATGGTAATGTCAGCTACTTTCAAACAATATCAGGGTACTTGAGTCCAGTTCTAAAGTACAACGATAGTTACTGGTTGAGATGTTGGCATGGTATGACGGACAGTTTTGCTATAAGCGCATTTCATTCTGAGTGTGACGGCAAGGGACCGATTGTAACCATCGTACTTGTCAAATCCTTGTATATTTTCGGGGGATATACAGACGTGCCTTGGACTGGTAAGTAAACTCATACTGACTTTGCCTTCTCGCACCGGAGTTTCTAATCAAATCCATGTATGATTGTTTTGCAAACCCAATTGCAAATCACAGTCATGACAATATGTAGACCAAAGAGAATTCCKGAACTGAATGATTTTCAACAGAACATGAATTTTAATTTTATAAATCAGACCTCTCAAGCTTCTCAAGCTCTACTGTGTCATTTCTGTATTCCTTGTATAACATCAGAGGCTACCAACCTGTCAAACTCAAAATCAAGGATACCAGCGCTGCTACATACGGGACTAGGGACTTTGGTCCTACATTTGGTAGAGGGCACGATCTTYACATTGCCCGACTTGCTTCGACAGGCGAGAATTCGTTTGCCACTGCACAATCATACGAGATACCTCCAGGATGCTCCGGTGGAAATTGTCCATTTTTTGCAGACAAAGTGCAGTTCCAAGTCCAAGATATCGAGGTGTTTTACGAGAGAGATGGAAAAAAACTTTGAAAATTAAAAACAATATCCAGGAAGCAAAACAAAATCTCCCGATCTATGTTTGTCCCCGTCGACATGAGTCCAGAGATTTCGTATTCGCAAATGCTTTTCATGCGTGTAGAGAATAACGTCGACGCGTGTCCGCGCGCCGTATACGTACGGTCGTTATACGGAGTGTCTCAGGAGATTTCTGTATTCGCTCTCTAGTGGACATTTCTTTGTACGATTTGTCTCCGGATATGTGTTGAATACGTGTAGACGCTCGTCTCAGAATACTTTTTTCACAGCATTGAAAAGAGAAAAAGCATAGCTGTCTCAGCTTTCTTTCATAATGCGCATGCTCTGTTCTTTGATATATCCTGATTCGTAGCGGATACATTTTCATGATATTACTAATTAGTATGCACACCTATACTTGCAGAAACGTTGTCATAGAAAATAGAACATTCGAATTTAGTAAAAAGGAATAAATTAAAACAAGACAAAAGAAAGCGTTCAGCCTCAGTGATCTTCTTTTGTCTTTTTAATTTATTCCTTTTTACTATTATACAAATGTCCTATTTTTATGACAACGCTTTCGCAAGTAGGTGTACATGATTCACAACCTCATAAGAACGCGCGCTCTCATTGGTTGGCTATCTCGGAATATGAGACCATATTCACTGATCAATCTCAGAATATTGATTCTCGGCAAAATGGCATCTCGTTTGGCAAAAATTACTGATGATGAAGAAAGTGAAAAAATGCAGTTCCACTAAACACAAACAAAGCTACGCAATTTGGGTTAAGTGTTTTTCACGTTAAAAAAAGGCATTTTTAACATGAGACAAAGACAAAAGACAAAACAATAAATACTAAAAAACATCTATAAAAGAAGAGAAAACCTCTGGAAACAGTGTATCGCCTATAAGGAGCTTAAAGTACAACACAGCAATTTAAAAATAGCCATTGCTCTATACAAACTGAGACTCAACTCTCTAAAGAATTCGCCTGCAAATTTCAGATACGCTCGCTCGGGAACCCTGTAAATTTCCTGTATAAATACTGTTTAAAGTCGACGACGTATAAAGGGATTTTGGTCTAGCCTTAAGAGACCTTAAGAATCTCAAATGTTATTCTAAAATTATAATGATAATGAAAATTAAATAATAACTAAACAATTATATATATATGATTTCAAAGAGGCAAGATTTTGCTGTAACTCCGAGTTTCGTGCTACGCACTCATCAGACAGTATTTAAGATTTTGCTGTAACTCCGAGTTTCGTGCTACGCACTCATCAGACAGTATTTGATTTATTTTTTCTTTAATGGGATCAGCCTCTTCCTCATACGATTAACTAAACAATTATATAAATAACAAATAAAAATAATCATTCAACGTGATCAATCGATAAATAAATAAATAATCAAACGCATAATCATAATCATAATATCACAATACAGTAAAAACCAGCGTATAAGAATACATACTTTTGCAGTTCAGGCTGATTTGGTTCTTATATTTAAGAAATATAAAACGGCGCGCGTGTCTCTGTCCTCTGATATAAACACGGTGGGAGTTCGAAAAACACGAGAGAAGCAAGCTTAGGAACACGAGCGTAGCGAGTTCGAAAAACACGAGAGAAGCAAGCTTAGGAACACGAGCGTAGCGAGTGTTTCTCTTGCTTCTCGAGTGTTTTTCAACTCCCACCGTGTTTATATCAGAGGACAGAGACACAAGCGGCCGTTTTATATTTCTTTTATAAAATTTTTCGAGCGAAAAGAAAATTTTGCCGGTAAGCCGTGTCTCTGTCCTCTGATATAAACACGGTCGTCAGCCAATCAGAGCGCGCGTTATATATCAAAAATTTTATAA